CTTGCATCAAGATGTTTCTCAATTTCCACCCTCTTGGTCATTTCTGTATTAGAAGTTAACAATAAATCTAAAATAGCATTGTTTCTAGTAGGTTCCTTGACCATTTGGTGAAGAAAGCCATATTGAACGGTTTCCAAGAACTTTTCTCCCACATGGTATAACTTTATTATTAATTTCATCAGTATCATCTGGTGGTCTGTAACAAATTCCCACTAAAAGCCTTTTCCCTCTATATCTGCTAATATAAATCTAAATGGATTCAATCTCCTTGCTATTATATTTGATATCCTCAACTTCAACAGGATGTAACTCATATGTTACATATAAAGTCATTCACCTCTCTCTTTAGTACTCTATTCCTATTAAATAGCCTGTAACCCTGTATTTCAAAGAAATTTCTGTCATCAAAATTATCTACATTTAACCATGTTTCAGTTATTCCCATAAAATTAAAATTCTCCATTCCTACCAGTGTTCTAAAACCATCTGCTTTATTCCTTGTACTTCTAACATTACATCAGTAACAATTAACTTGTAACTACTTCTACACTCATTTCCTATGCTAAACTTTTCTCTACTTCTTATTCTTTTTGCATTTAGTTTATCGTAGCCCTCACCACTGTTTAATCCGAGTTCAAATCTTCCCTTACAGCTGAGTTAATAGCCCTTGCAAACAAGCCAGCCCCTATCCTATTTAAATGTAAATAAAACATCCATTCCAAAAAGCTCCCTTCTTCCATTGAACTGATTCCACAATTCCTGCCAGCCAATCTGCTCCTCCTTACATATTAACCTAAGTCTAGCATTGAGAACCAGTTACCTAGTTATGACTTCATCCCCACAATTAATTCTGGGCAGTATCCCTGACAAAATGAAGTTAGGATATTTTTCTTTAAATGCCTTTATCAACCCCTTGTACTTACTAATTAGCTCATCTGAGCTATTTTTCCTGACATCATTAACTCCTACATACACCACAAAAAATGCATCTATGCTAGCCCCCTTCATTACAGTAGAACCTTGATTAACAGGCACTGCAGCATTAAGGGCAGACCTTTTCAGTCTCTTTCTTTTTTGTACTATTTGTAACCAAAATAAATCTTGCAATAATGGGCACCTCAATATTCCAGATTAAGGGCTGTGTGTTTAGTCTCATTCTGTATACAGGCATTCAATAAAGTGGACAGTTATCTTTGTATGCCTGTAAGGAATACTACTAAATTCCAAATATCCCAGAAGGATGACCAATATTCAAACACTTGCAATGTTTATTGGATTGGTTGGAAACCATATACTGAAATAAAAATGTTTTCACAGATACAAAGTGCACACTTATTACTCTGGGGAATTCTCATTGTAAGCACTGTAGGATACATAAGATGATAAATTCCTCCTTGTGTTTTCAGAGAAGGGGTCAAGTCAGCTTATGTCTGTGTGTGTATGTGTGCTTTGTTGCTCTTAAGAGTATCGTATTACAGTGTCAGGTAAACAGTCTAATGACACAAACAGTGACTTGTTGCTTTATTTTCAGTGGATTTCTACTTCAGTCATTGACAGCAAAATAAACACAGAAGATAAATGTGAAATGCTTAGCAGTTCAAACTCTGAAGAGAAGTACTTTGAAACTTTGTGACTAATAATAAAGAAAAAAAGGGCACAGCTTATTCACCACCTGAGACCTCCTGTTGATAACGATCCGTGTCATGGCAACGTGCAACCCATGAATACCTTTGTCCTACAAACACCAAAGTGGGGGCCTTAAAATTCAGAAATTTAGTATGGTCTATATGGAATTCAGATTTGCTTGGCTCATTTTTGATATTAAGGGCACCTTGCTATAAAGGGCATTTGGAAACAGTTGGAAGGGTGCCCTTAATGTTAAGGTTCTATTGTATATTTCCTACTCTTGTGCTCCTGGGTAGCATAATTTAATTATTTTCTCCCTATTTACCTCACAGATATAGTATCCACATCTTGTCACAGAATCACCTATAACTATAACCTCCTTAAGTTTATCATCTATATTCTTCTCTGTCTCTTGTTTTTCTTCCTTCTGATAGTTCCTAATGTGCACAAGCCAAGAGCTGAAGTTTGTTGCTCAATAGAATAGGTTCATTACCATTAAATCTACTACTTTCAGTGCTAATAGTACTCTTTCTGTCTTCCTGAAATTCATTGTTAGCTGATGTATTCCTTGCATGTAAAAGCTTAAGCTGCTCTTGAAATCCTACTGCCATTTCCCACAGTCTACACTTCTATTTATCTATTGCCTCTACTTTTATTAGAATAACCTTCAACTTCTCCTCCAGTTCTTTAAAGTAATCTTTGATGCTGCTTGAGTGTATATGAAGTTGTTTGTTAGTGTGTATGTATCCAGTATTTCCCCTAGGGCAGCTGGTGTAGCTCGGACTCAGAACAAACTGACATCAACTAATGCTCTCTCAGCCTGGACGAGTCCCACAACATCTAGTGGTCTTTATACTCCTGTGCCTTCACGTAGTAAAACCAATGAGACACTTGTCACTGCCATTCACATTCAGGGTAATCTGGTATGTTGCATGTGTTTTTTTATAAATAGGTTAAATTTCTTGGTTGAAAAGTCATTCAGATGACTTTGCATACTTAGGTGTTTTTACTTTTTCGTTGTTATGCTTAGCATGCCATTTTATTTACTTGTGTAGGTTATAGTAAAAATTGAACAACAAAAATCTATAATTTTATTGTACTCCCTTACATCAATTACACAGGCCTGCAAATTTAAACTTCATAAAAGTTGTTTTGGTTTTAATAATGGATTTTCCATAATTCAGCTATACAGATTTCAAAAATAATAATGTTTTTCAATCACGTGAGGATTTTTTACTAATCAGAAGAAAAAATACTCTTATTTAGATGAAATTATTATTTTGTTTAGTACAATGAACATTTTTTATGCATACTTTATGTTCCCCCCCAAGTGGCTCAGCACAGCACATTTTGTAGCTTTGTGCTTAACAGCATCCAAACCAAGGGGATTTCACATATTTAGTGATATGATAACATGGTGATGGGCTGTTATATTTTGAAAAGTAAACAGTTTCTAATCCTTGTTCTTTATTATTAAAATGATAAACATTTAATATTTACACTAATTAATCAGATTTTAGTAAAACTGAAAACAGAATTAATGACTGGTGATTTCGGGCAATAAATCCTTTATTGTCCTCGTAACCAGTCAGTAATTGAAAATTGTTCTTAAGTTACTATACAAGATAGATATTGAGAAATCTCTTCTATATGTATGTTTGAAATAAAATGTTGATTATTATTTCTGATTTTGTGTATATATATTACCTGTAAACATCAATTGGTAAAAACTGTAGAAAAACAAAAATTAATATGATATAATTGAAAGAGTATGTTAATCCTTAAGTACTAGTTTATGATCATATGGACCCTAGTCAAATAATGATGGCTCCCAATATAATAAGGTCACAAGTGCTTAGTATTAAGATGATGTACTTGTTTTAAGATTGTAGGACAACTTTTAGAACCCATTTTGTTGTTTTGACTAACTACAATATTATACATTGTTTTGGTCATATGTGCTATTATTTGTGACACTATGCCTAGTGAAAGAAAAGGTACAGCATAGTAGACAGTATGCACGGATCATGGATCTGAGGGTTTTGGTTCATGATGTTCTTCCACAAACAAACACTTTGTATTTTGGAATTGTGGATGTACTATAAGAGTGACAGTCAATCCCACTATTCAGTCACACTGAGTAGCCCAAGAATTGGCAGTAGGTGCTGTTGACTAGTTATCTTTGTTCTAGGCTATTCAAAACTAAGGATGGCTATATGTAGATAATCTCTATGCAGCTTTGCACAAAAAGCCAAAACAAATAAGTAAATATGATATGTCATTTTGTGCACATAAGACAAAAATTAGTGAAAATCCTAAACTAGTAAAACGTAGCTCCCAGTTTAAATGATGTGAACAAATTTACAAGTTCTTGAGAAGTGAATTAAAACACTTGAGAAATGAAAATTTATCGAACCAAGGAAGTGAGAAAATATAAAGTCTGCGGACAGCAAAGGTATTTGTTGGTTCCAATACCCTGCATAGGGCCTTCACCTTTATCTGATAATGATGCTTTGGTCCCCTTTCTACCCAGTTTGGAATGTTATATGCACTCTTCTTGCAGTTTAGGTTAAGACAGCCTTTGTGATATTTCCCAGCAGGACAACAGTAAGTCTACAGACTTACAAAGCTAAAATCCAGAGTTGGATTCCCCATGGTGAACACAGCAGATAACTCAAGGCAGCTTTGCTCTAAAACAAAGAAAGAAAGAAGCCTTTGAGATATTAATGCAACTTACAACTGCACAGCATATGTCTATTATTAAAATGGTCAACCAATTGCATTTTTTGACACAAAATATTATGGTGTACTAGGAATAATGATTCTTATGAACCTATTAATCAGTCTTGTCCATCAGCCATATGCCTTTAGTTGCTCTATGGCTATATATATATATATATATATATTAGTTTCAGTGGTGACCCTCTGTGGTTATGGAAAACTAAAGAGTATGGTAATGAAGAGTATGTTTGACAGAAATATCAGTATTACTTATACATGGTGCTATAACTGGCAATGTAAATGTAAGGGACATTGGATGAGATTTTAATATTAATGTGTGTGTGTGTGTGTGTGTGTGTTAGAAAAGTCCTATGATTAGTATTATTAGTGGATAGTGAAAAACTTCTGACCTATATTTATGTTCACAAATGTGTTGTGATAACACTGCAATGAAAATGTGGTATTAACTGTCTGTATTAGAAGTTTTACTTGTGACAGTTTTGTTTGGTGTTTAGTAATTTGCTAAGCAGGCCCAACTTCATCAGGTGATCTTGGGGTGAGGGTTGGAACATTGTTGACAATGAGGATACCCAAATGAGTGGTAATAGAGGCTTTTCTGTGGTTTGTCTGTTACAAATAATTATGACTAATTATTATTAATTGTTACTGTAGAATTTTAGCAGCTCTTCTGACAGTAGTTTTTACATAATTATCACTATATAGATGGTGGTCCTGCTCAGCTAACAGACTCTTGTTTGTGGTAGTTAATAATTTTTCATAACAAAATAAATATATTAATAAATTGTTAGTTTGATCAGTAACAGAAGACTATATTTTTTTTGTAGAATGAAGATGAAGCCTTAGCACTTGCTCTGCAAAATTCATTGTCCAATTCTTTAGAGACTTCACCTTCACAAACTCCTCCTAATATTTCAAGGTAAAATGATTGTAGTATCTTCTGAACAGCTTAAATGTCTTTAAAGTAAGGCTTGCTGTAATATTCATGTTTTATAATAAATATTAATAATACGATAATACCCAAAAAAATCTTTAATTATGGATTTTCAAAGTTGTTTCAATTTCCATCATCAGTATTAAAACCTCGAAAAGTTAGTTCATAATGTACTAACTATAAAAAATAACTAGTTACTGAGTAATTAATTTTTGTATTCAATGAGAAGTTTAGAAAGAATAGCTTTAAACATGAACGATATAATGGAATGAACAATAGAATGTGTGGCATACGTGTTTAATAGATAACATTGTTAAGAGCAAACATTATAAAGAAAGGTTTAAATATAAGTATAAACACTGCATCTTTATAATAATAATGATGATAATTATAAGAAACTGAGAATCTGCAACTGATTAAATTGGTGACAACATGGAGGAGTTGATGCTATTATTTAGTGTTGGGTGATCATTGAAAATGGAGAGGCTCGGGTGTAGTAGTTAACCTATATCCACTTATAGCTGAAATTTCCATATGCTCATGTGCATGTATTAGTAGATGATGTGTAGCTTTACCAATATAGGGACCTTACAGCTACCACAAGTATATTTATATACAACCCATGAGCACATAGCAATGGGTGAAGTGTCTATGGTTTTAAACACATTTTTATTATGAATGTTGATGCAAATACTAAACGTAGCTTAATTTGTTGGTAATATTTTTTGAATTTGATATTTGAGTTTCAACTCAAATGAAAGGAGTAATAAGAACCAGTGGATATTTTGAGATAGTGTGTGGTTTGTTTGGTAGGTACTATCTTATTTGTTAAAAATGTTCATGTGATAGTGTAAGAAATTAAGGGGCTAACCATTACTTTCTAATATGTTATAATTTTTGAAATTTCTGAATGAAGACAGAACTAGTCAGAACAGATATTATAAGCTCTACATAAAAGGTTTCAATCAAGGTTATTTTTGAAGGAGTCTAACATGGAACTGTCAAAATGAGTGTATAAGCCAGTAAATGTTTTCTTACAGTAAACAGATGTGACAAAGAGATTGTTTTTTCTTTTTTTTTACACTTGGACGTCTAAAAAAGCCAAGTTATTGTTTTCTTCCATCTCACATGTAAAGTTTCTATGTGAATGTTGTGTTAGTAGATATTCTTTAAATTTCTTGGCATGATCAGTGTTGTGAAAGAGCAGAAAAGTATCATCAGCATATCTTCTTTATATTATTGGTTTGTAATAAAAGGAGCATTTATCCAGCCATTGACATTTGCACAACATTCATGTATAAACTTTACATATAAGATAGAAGAAAACAATAACTTAGGTTTTTTAGACGTCCCAACGAGCACATGTGAATTTCAGCTAAAAGTGGATGTAAGCTAACTAATCCACATGAGTCTTGTATCTGACTGCACAGTGAGAATAACAACCACCTCATTCTTCTAGAAAACTTTAGAATTCTCGACTCCAGAACCACAAGTTACAAATTTTTATTAAAGAAAGCTTTTCCATTTTCAATGATCATCCAACACTAAATAATAATATCAACTCCTCCCTGTTGTCATTAATGTAATAAATTCCAGATTCTTTGTATTTTTTACTTGAAAATTATCATTATTATTATTTTAAAGATACAGTGTTTATACTTATAATTAAGCCTTTTTATTATGATGTTTTCTCTTAACAGCTCTATTTATTAAACGTGTTTGTTGCATGTTTTATTGTACATTCCTTTCTATTGTTACAATTTAAATCTGTTCTTTCTAAATTTCTGATTGAAAAAGAAAACTACTTGCTCAATAGCTAATGTTGTTTTATGTATTTAGAATATTGTGAACTAACATTTTTGAGGTTTTAATGCTGATTATGAAATTTGAAGCAATTCTGAAATGTCCATAACTAAAGATGACTTTTTGGTATTATTGTGTTTTTAATATTTATTACAAAACTTCATTCTCCACCTGATGAGTCAGTAGCAAATATTCATGTTTTTTTAAAGAATTGAAGTTTTTATTTTATTTAGCAATTAAATAATTTCATTGTTTAATACTTACTGTTTTTCTTAACTTTACACTTGTTTTATAGTTTGGTTTAAATTGAATTTAAAACTTGTGCGATACTGCTGTATTTGGACAGTCATTTTTATGGTCAACATTTTTACATTGATTTGATATTGTATGACTCGCATATCATTTTAAGTTAGTTCAAAGCTTGGCTAGAATTTTGTTTCAGTTTATGTGATAGAATACAAGAACTAAGATCATGTTTAATGTTCAAATTCCCAATATAGACACAGTTAAGTGCTTGAGGTTAGTGCTCTTTGAAATGCTTTCTTTAGGGCTGATGTGGCCTAGTGGCTAAGGTTCTGAACTTGCAAATTTGCGGGTCTCAAGATCGAAACCAATTACCAAACATGCTTGTCCTTTCAGCCATGGGGGGGTATTGTAATATGATGTCCAATACCACTATTTTTTGGGTAAGAATATCCCAAAAATTGGCAGTGGTTTGTGTTAACTAATTGCCTTTCCTCCAGTCTATTGCTTCAAAATTAGGGATGGGTAGTGCAGATATTCTTCAAGTAGCTTTGTGTGAAATTCAAAAGAAACATTTTTTTTATGTTGTGAAGCATACAGGCAGCTATGCAGTGTTAACCCTTTCTCTGTTTTAGATCATTTAATGGTTTTTTATGAATACTCTTATTTGACTATGTACCCAGGTAGGTATGACTGAAGCATATCCTTCTACTATTATTGAAAGAGAGTGGAGTAGAGAGTTTTAGCAACTAAAAATCCTAAGATTACTTTTCTCCTGAGTGAAAGTAAATTAACTTATTTTCATTCACATGTGTTTTAAGCATCACGTGTGATGCACAGACTAGGGTTAATTATATGGTAATTGTTAATGATTACAGCAGATAATTTATACACATAATTAAGTAGAAATTAATGATTGATTTCTTGTATGAAGCTTTAGGCAAGTTTTAACATTTTGAAACACCTATTTTATCTTCGGCAAAATCTGAAGATAGTATTACAAAGATATTTATTAACAAATGCCATAGTATATTCAGTCACTAACTTATTTAGATATCAAGTAAATTGGTAAATGGAAGGAAAAAACAGATTATATATTACAAATGTATCATGAATTACTAGTTCCATGAAACAGTTGTAACTATTCTTAACAAACAGTTGAGTTTTAAGTGTGTAAATGTAGAATAATTTTAGGTCTAAAGGGGTTTCTAAGTCATTAAGAGCAGAGCGATCTTTAGCTACGAGTAAACTCCACCACCTTCATCTTTATTATTTTTACATAAGTTGTTTGTAGATTATTTGATAGAGGTACTTTAACGCTTCTATATTTTTTGTGGAATATGTTAGAAGTAAAGGTAGTGTGCTTATAAAGTTTCAAAATGATCCAATGATATGTCAAAAATAAATATGAATATGTATGTTGTGCTAAAATAGACAAACAGCCAGTTTAGATACAATATTTATATAAATTGATAAGATCAGTCTTGGTAATGTTTGCCAAAATCTACAATTTTTGCTTGTTAATCCTTGTTGATACAGTATGTTACTTTCTTCTCCTTTTGGAACCAAACTTTTTTTATAAAATTTTTCACATATATTGCCACTATAACTTAGTTCCTGTGAAAGTTTGTTTAGGAAAATTAAAAATATCAACCAGTTGTCTTTTTCAGGTTGAAAGTAATTTTGTAATGTTACAACTTGTGATCTGCTGCTTATAACATTGTTCTTTATGTTTTTATATTAGTAGCTGTATATCATAAGGAAAAAGTCTAGGTATATATTATCAATAAACATTTACTTTTAATGGAAAGCTATGACCAAAACATTTTATCCTTAGGATTTCTGTAATATCAAAAACATTTTATCCTTAGGATTTCTGTAATATCAAAAACATTTTATCCTTAGGATTTCTGTAATATCAAAAATCATTCCAGCCCAGCTAATGATCAAGTATTATAGGTAGCTGCTGAAAATATATATTCAACACAATTTATCAGTTCTACATATAATTACATCATAATTTAGACTATTGCTCCACCTACCAGTAGAGCATGTTACACTTATTTAGACTATTGCTCCACCTACCAGTAGAGCATGTTACACTTATTTAGACTATTGCTCCACCTACCAGTAGAGCATGTTACACTTAATTAGACTTTTGCTCCACCTACCAGTAGAGCATGTTACACTTGCTTCTCGTCATACATCAGAAGGATAAAAAATGCTTTATACCATTATCAGTACTTGCATAATAACAAAGTAATTGTTAAAAAAGGTGACAGATTCTTTCTTGTTTTACGTAGGACATTTAAAACATTGAAAAGCACATTGTGTGAATTTCATTTTTTGCTTTCTTAGAAAAATGACATTTAAGTGTAAGCCATTTCCTTTTCTTTTTTTCCACATATAATATTTCATTCTATTAATAGCACAAAGCAATGCATACTTGATTTATTAATGATATGCAATCAGACTTGTTTAACATCTGAGGAAATGCTTATGAAGATGTTTAATTAAAGTTACTTACTTTTAAAATATTGAAATTGATTTCAATATGTGATACACTGCAGGCTAATACTATTCTAGTGTTTGATAACTTTAAATATTTGTCTTTAATATTGTGATCACATTTTTTGATAATTGTATTTCAACTTATTTAAGGGGGGCATTAAATGAAAGTGTGTATAGCTCTCCAAGTGTAAATAATAATAATTAATATTTCAAACATACATAAGACTTGCTTAAAATGTAGTTAGACCTCTTTGGCAATGTTATGTGTCCCATTGACCCTTCTCCAATCAAGAAAAGATGGAGCAGACTTGTGTCAAGTTAGTGTTTGATGAAACATGTCAATAGATTTTTAAGCTTCCTTGTTATATTCAAAATATGTGTACAGAACGACTAAATGAGTGCTTAAAAATTTAATTATGAGAATTAAATCAGTAGCTAAAACAGTATACTTTGAAATTAGTTTAAAAGTGCATTTGAGAAACACAAAAGTACCATTCAGAAATGTACATAGTTAAATAGACTTACAGTTTTTGTAATCCCCATAGTGTTACAGTAACGTCTCTATGCACTGTATGTGATGTGAATTTATGTTTGGGGAAATACTTTTCCTGCGACGTGATGCACACTACAGGTGGCATAATGACAGTGTGCTAAAATGATATACCAAAATTACTAATATGTAGAGAATAAGAGCTAACTGTCCAAATATTGCATATTTTAAAACAATACTTTCTCTTGCACATAAAGTTGGGATATATTTTGCTGTACCTTAAATAATCAACAAATATATTGAAATAGTATCCTATGATTTTGTTTGATTTCTAAAATCTTTTTCATACACCAAATAGTAAATGACATTTCTTATATCTTTATTTCCTAGTGGAACGTGCTAAGAGAAAAGTCCTGCAACTGCTCAATACCCCAATTATTGTGCAACACAATCATTAGAAAATAGACTTTAATCCTATGTTTTTTGCTCCAGGGTTGTCCTATCATGTCACCAGTGGGTGTAAATGGTTCTTATCAAAAGTATATTTTCTGTTATTTTTTGTTTTACAGTGCATCATTTAGCAAATGTCTGGTGTATGTAGAGTCCTTTACAAATCATTTAGTAGAGGCTATTATTTAATACTTTAGCTTTTAAGATTATAAATTCTTCTTTCTTAGGAGTCCAGTATCTCAGGAAGAGGCAGATCGGCAGTTGGCCTTAGCTTTAACAGAAAGTGAAAGAAATCATCAAGAAGGACAAAGGGTGAGAGTACCTTGTGAAATACTTCATCTGTAGTAGTGATTCCACATTTAGCTAAGAATATATATTGCATATTATACATGTGATTTTTTTTTATCCACAGAATTTCATAATTTTAAGTTTTTTTTACAGATATTACAATGCTAAAACAGGGGTCGATTCCCCTTGGTGGACACAACAGATAGTTCGATGTGGCTTTGCTATAAAAATCACACACACGCAGATATTCCATCATGTCATAATATAAAATTGAATTTAGGATAAACTAGAAATGGTTCACCATCATATTAACTTTCTTTCGTCATTATCTGAGAAATTGAAATTAGAAGTGGTTGCCAGTTTTCACCAGGTTGTTTACCAATAGAGTCGGGTCTTTGGGGATATCTGAAATAATTTTTGTGTTTTCTCCTGTCTTCTAGTTGATTTAAGAGCTAAAAACTTGAATCTACATTTAATCACATAAACTAGGGTTCAAGGTACTTTGTTCTCTTGGAGACACCATACACAAAAAAGTTTTTAAGCATAGGAACATTTGTATGTATTCCATTAAGTTTTTCACAGTATACTATTTCTTTCAAAAGACCACTAACTTAAATGCACTGTACAGAGGACTTAGTATTATATTATAAAGATTATGAATATGCAAGCCTGAAAGTCACATGAAAGCCACAGCCAATATAAAGTTGTGGTGGAATGGAATGTATAAGAACTATATTTTGATTTGTTTGGTATTTCATAAGTCATGTAATGGCATTGAAAATGTATTGCTTTTTGAAAGGGTATGCAAGAATTATTTCTGACTTAAAAAAATTCATACACTCAAATAGTAAAGACATGCTCAGATTGGGATTTGTAAGTTGAAGATATCCTTTGTACTTAATGGTACTGGAAAACAAAGAAATATGAATTAACTTGGATTACCAGGACTATCTAGAAAGCAACCTGCAAGTCAAACCACAGCTGGAAGCTTTTAAAATGTGATAATCCACAAACACAAAGATCAGTGGCAAAAGCCATCCACATGTTCCATGCAATAGTATGAAACATAATTAAAAAGTATCACCATATACGAAAGTGATGCTGCATCCATGACATATCCAGAAGAGGAAGACCAACTGTAGGAAAACTGTGAGTGATATCTAGCAGGAGGAAAATGGCAGTATATTGTGACATTCAACAAACTGTATGTGTACCTTGATAACTATAATAAGTCTAGTGCCATTTTCAACCATTCAGTGTGAGTGGATGCAATTATTTCTAGAAGTGGTATACAGCATATCACAAAACTTTTTCAAAGGGATTCATGATCATTGCTGGATACTGTTATAGGGATAATTGGGGATCAGAGAGTGGATACAAAGGCCAAGGTGAACTCTGCTTACTGTCAGACTAATGTTCTGGACCCTTTGTACCACACAGAAATACCAGATTTGTATGGAATAGAGGCCAAAAGGTTAGGAGTGAACTAAAGTAAAACTCCCATTCAACAGTTGTGTATTTCAAGCAACTGGAAAATGAAATGGATTTTAATACTATTCCATGTGAAAACATAGCAGTCAAGTTGCTGGACACAGCCCATATGGACCCCTTTTTGATCAGACAGTTGAATTGGGAAACCATTGTTCTTGCACAGTAAATAAACTATGAAAAGCCTGGAAAGAGGAGTGTTGTGCCTTAGACAAGATAGCCTTATGACAGAGTCTTTTGTAATAGAAAATATACTTTAGGGTTATTAACAAGGTTCGTGGTCATCAGCTAGACTATGGTTGCTTTGGTGACATGTACCGTAGTGACGAGATGAGACTGTTAAAATAATTTTAATATAATATAATCAACCCTCTGTAGACAGTTGTTGTCAGTAAAGTGTGTAATTGCAATTATACATTGTAAGTACTACTATAATGGTTCTTGGTCTATGCTTACACTGCCTTTGTCTTCTAAATAACACCTTTGTGATTTTGACCTCTTAATCTTAATAGTAACTTAGATAAGTAACAGGAAAACAACTCTTGCATCAAGTTGACATCCATACATTATTTAAAACATGCTGAATGCCCTACCTAGGATTAACATTTAAGTGATTGCCCTTTCAATTTGCAAAAGCCCACAAGATACAAGTTTTGTGAATAATTTTTGTATATAGTAAGTAATTCAGTAAAATATGACTACTTGTTTTTAAACATATAGACTTTTATTTATATTAAAACCCTCATTGTGCTTTTAGTTTGGCCTTTTTTTCTCCTGTTGAGCAACAATATTGATTAAAAGCTTCTTGATTTTAGAGGCTAAAGAACAATGATTAATGCAAACCATGAAGAAGAAAATGTTTCTTGTAAACTCATTAATAATTTTGTGTAATGTAAAACAAAGTTCTGTCTGTTACCTTTCTTGAATTTTTGTTGCCTGAAGTTTGACAGTATTGTGCATGTCTTCAGATTAGTTAGCTAAATAGTGGATATAATCATGAATAATGGTGCAGGCTAGAATGACACCTGTTATGCTTCAACTTAATAGTATCATAACTAGAAATGTGGGGTGTTATATTTGTGTTATTTATGTTCAATTAGTTCTGTAGACCAAGTCTGGAAACACTGAGAAAGTGATTAGGGATATAAATAATAAATGCACATACCACATTATATCATGTTAAAGAAAAATTAAAATCACATCTTAATAGCATAAACTGTATTGTCACATTTACAAAGCTGTTGGTAATTGGACAGAGAATTAGTATTAGGCCTATCAAGACAGATTGAGGTTCACTTTGCCAATAAAATATAAAATGAGTGATTGATTTGTAAATCCTTGTAGTTTTTCTAAGTTGTTGTCAGTAAACTATAATAAAGTAAAATAACTTTGATAAAAACTTGTTTTACTCTAATAATAGTAATAATAATAATGTAGCAACCTTATGTGCATTTTGTAAATATGTATACAAAGAAAGAAAAGTTAAGTCTTGAAAGATTTGCGTGTAAAAAGTGATTAAATATTTCAAATTCACTTTTGCAAACACTTTTCAAATACAATTTTCTAAAATGTTAGCTTTTTTTTAACCAGCTTAAATTCTGCTTGAACTTGCAACTGTTATGTGTGTATGTTGGATGTACAAGACTATTTAGCATAAGAGTTATATTTAGTTCATTTAGTGATCTAATTTTGATGACTTAGTTTTCATGACCAGATAGTTAAAAGTAATTATTTTAAAGATGATAGTTATGGCAAGTTTCATTACATAGCTCTGTACAAGTCGTTCATTGTGTATACAGTTTAATTATTGTACTAAGCTTTTGTTATGTTGTTGACATCACATTACTCAAATCTTAAGTGAGAATTGTTACATCATAGCATCTTGAAGTTTGTAGAATGTTCTAGGCCTCAGTTGGACAATGTGTATATATATATATATATATATATATATATA